CAGAACTGATAGGTTCAGGGTCTGTGCTTTAAGTTAAGGTTCTGGGTGAACCAAACTGTGTGTATGTATGAGTGAAACCAAGCCACGTTACTTTATCTATTCACCTGATTGTTTATTTTTCCCTGTGTGTATTTAAATAAACCTTATTCTTTTTATTGTTTAAAAATCCATCCCTGGTCTGTGTGACTTCTTAAAGGGAATGGTTGGTGGCAGCTTAGTGTAACTGTGTGACATAGTAGGGTAGGTCTGGGTTTGTCGCAGGGTGATCTTCCATAAAGTGATCCACCCATGCATATAGGAATTATTCTGCCCCAGCTTCAGTAAAGAATAGCTGTGTTGCTGGACCAAAAAGGTCTAGAACGGGCATGGAGCAGAGTCAGGCTGGTTTGTGATCTCCTGTGTGTTTACTGATGAAAACACCTTGTGCCGGACTGTGCCACAAGTTTTTCAAAATGGAAGCTATATCTCAATCCGATCACACTTAAGCTTTTGTTGTTGTATGCCGAAATAACTAGCACATGACTTTTGCTGGGTGGTAAAGTTGAGGAAAGCAAAAGGCTTGTGCACCTTTGAGCTTTCAAAAGGGAGTAGGAAATGCAGTCCAAGCCTTGGAAGAGATGAAGACCAAATGTAGTTAAATGCAGTTAGATTTTCTGGTATATTGTTCCTCTATGAGTACTGACTTTAGCTTAATAGTTCTTGAATCACGTCAGTGCTTGAAGAATCAGGTTGACAGTGACTAAAGATTATGGTCTTACAGCTTTGAGAGGTTGTGTTTCAGTTTAAAAAAGAATCAGCTAAGCTATTTCCTCTAATAAATAAAGACTGAGGAAATGAGTTTTTCTTTTTTGCAAAAAAAAAAAATGTTAAATCAAAGCTGTTTTTTCCGGTCTGGCAATATAAATTTGATTTAGAAGTCTGACACAAAAAAATCTGAAAGGGTTTTCACCTGAGTTTTTAGAGCTCTGGAAGATTTTTTTTAGCTTCAGAATAATTTGCATAGCTGCTTGGCACAGGCCTTTCCTCCCTTTCTCATTGATAAATAATTATACCCTTCGGATGATTTACTCCGCACTGTGCCGTATTTGTTAGCCTTCCCTTTTCATCCTTTGACATTCAAGTAGCAATAATTCTGTATCTCACATCTCTTATGCACATTTTTAAAGGCTTCTCATAGATTATAGGTAGACACAGGTAGCCAGTGGGGGAACGTCTTTGGGGTTAGAAATCTTTAAATCCCAGCTTTTATTTTATAGCCTGTATGAACTTTTGTGACTATAATCTAGTACAATACATGATCGTTGAAATATCTTTCACTTTGAGATAATTGCTATTAATCTTCAGTCTCCTCTCCTCCCCCTCCCCTGCATTTTTTTTATTTGGTAATTTGACCTCCCATGACAAGAGTTTTATTTGATAATTTGCTTTCCCTGACATGAGTTGCTGATTAAATTAGAAAAACTGCTCATTGGTGGAGAGATTGCAATGCTGGGTAAAGAGAGGGTGTTACAACACCAGAAAAGAAAACTTCCTGAAGTATCTTTGGACTTACTCAGCTGTGATATTTTCCTCATGGTAACGGAATATTCATGTAGCAATTAATGACTAAAATTTTACGTACTATGTAAAATCCATGTAGGTTTTATGTGAACAGGAACTTGCAGGCATCTGGTTACCCACTTAAAGATAATTCCCTCAAACATCCAGACTCTAACAAGAACTTTGTAGGATCATAGTCAAAGCATCTATCCAGCCCAGTGTCCAGCAGTCGGTTGTTGTGTTGGTTTCTGACACTGCATTTTCCATGTATTTCTTTGTGGATTTTCTTCTGTGGTTGAGCAAGTGCAGATACTCAGAGTAGCCTAGAAACAAATCTGTTCTTGTTAATCTGATGAAGGATGCTGACTAGCTTTCCCTTTTGAAGGTGGCACTCACCTGCACTCAGATTTGGTGGACCACAGAGGTTGGGATTGCCTTTGCCAGGCTGGAAGAAGGCTATGAGAATGCCATGAAAGAGTACCATAAGAAGCAGGTGACTCAACTGAACACCCTCATCACCATGCTCATTGGGCATCTCTCCAAGGGTGACAGGCAGAAGATCATGACCATCTGCACCATTGATGTCCATGCTCGAGATGTGGTGGCCAAGATGATTGCCCAGAAGGTTTGTCACATATTAACTACCCATGAGATTGTTCCCAAGGATACTGTCCCCTAAATCTGTCCCCAATAGGAATTGCCTGAGACCAATATGATCAGTTCTAAAACTGTTGAAGTCACAGTGGGCTGATTGTGTTTTGGAAAAGGTGGGAGCAATGTTTCCAGTGAAAGCACTGGCACTGTAATATCAAGATATCAGAACATTCTTCCCCTTTCTCCTTCTCCCCTCTGCAGCCTTTGATATCTAGTGAAGCTGGCTCCAGAGGGCCTCTTGGCTTGGTATGCATGGGGGCAGGGCGGCTGCAGTGGTGAGGTCTTCCACCTTCTGATTCTGCTGAGAGAAGCAGTTTCATCAATGTCTCCCATTTGGATTTAGGCCCAGATTTCCACCTCCTGTATGGACCTGCTTCCACGCACCTACCTCTTTATTTTTTTTAAAATCTAATCCTATTTTATTTTAAATGGTTTGAAGACCATTTCACATCTTCCCCAAGGCTAAAAGAAAATAAGAATTATTTTAGAAAACAGAGTTTGCGTGTTGCCGGTGTGAAACTGTCAAGAAAAGTTATCTGGGATTTTGGGGGTTCCCAGTCACCGATATGCCAACAACAGCCAATTCTACTTCTTCTTTCCATCTAAATTCCATCTCTCTTTCCCCTGTCTCTTTTTCTGTCTCTCTTCTTTCTTTTGAAATCCAGCAATGTTGTTCAAGTTCTGAATCTGTGCTTGGTGTTGCTAACGGATTGGATGAGGGAAAACTAATTGAAGCTTAATTTAGGACCAGTCCTGGTGAGTAGCAAGGCAGTTTAAGGAATAAAGGTTCAAGCCTGTCTTGGTTGGGATTGCATTTGCTTTAAAGACTCACCACCTACTTCTGCTTTCAGCTCTGAATCTGAATGATCAAGATCCTTCTATAGCTGGGAGTGTTTTTTGCACACCCAACTATGACTGCTCCTTTAGAAGTTGGATCAGGCTATGATGACAGGCCCTTTAGTTGCACCTCATTTAGACTACAGTGGGGTCTTGACTTGAGAACTTAATCCGTATTGGAAGGCGGTTCTCAAGTCAAAAAGTTCTCAGGTCAAATCTGCATTTCCCATAGGAATGCATTGAGAACCATTTGATCTGTATCTGCTCTTTTCCGTCCATAGAAACTAATGGGAAGCTGCTATTCCGCCTTCGACCACTAGAGGGGGATATTTTATTTCTTTTTTTATTAGGTCAAGAAAGGTTCAGGGAAGGCAGGGAAAATACAGTCCAGGCAGTACCAGGCAGTCCGAAGACTGTCTCCCAATCCACTCTCTAAACGCTGGGAGGAGTGAGGAAGCAGACAGGCACCCTTTACACTGGGCAACAGTTAACTGAAAGTTCACATTTTGCACTTTCCCTGCCTCCCACGTGGGTTTTTTTTAGTTCTTAACTCAAATCTAAGTACTTAAGTCAAGTCGATATTTTCCTATGAGAGTGGTTCTTAAGCCAAAATGTTCTTACCTCGAGCCGTTCTTAAGTCAAGACCCCACTGTACTGAATGCACCTAAAGGGTCACCCTAAGTCATAATCCACTCAATGGTATGTTGTTGCTGTTGCTGTTGTTGCTGTTGTTGTTGTTGAAGAGTGTTTAGAAAATGGTTTCCATTTAACTCTAAGAGCTGGTTCAGAATGCAGGAGACAGGCTAAGGATGGGGACCGATTATAAAGAACATGGCCTTCCTCCAGGGACCACCACAACTGCCCTGTTCTACTGGATCATTTCCAGGACCAATGTAAAGAGTGGCATTTGACACACAGGTCCTTTTATGACATGGGATCAGGTTGTATAAAAGAATGTGTTTTCCCATATGAACCTGTTGGTGTCACACAATTTGGAACACATTTGATTGGAACTTGACAAATGAAGTGGAATATCAGATGACTTACTGCTATCAGGGAAAGACCTCTTTGTGTAGACAGGGCTTTGATTTATAAGTTGACTTGTATATATGTTGAAATTGGTTTCAACTGGTTGTTCCTGTTTTGGTTTTTGTTATTCTTTATATTTTACCTGCTGTGATTTTTATCTTTTAAAAATGTTTTACTTTTTATTTTATTATGCATGCATTTTAACTGCTTTTAGCCCCATTTGGCAGAAAGGAAGGATATAAATTTAACAGCCCTAACTTTTTTCCTCATGTTCCAATTCTTCTAATTTTAGTCTTCTTGTCCTCTTCCTCCTGCTTCCCAGCCTGGTGTAGTAGATAGAACGACAGTCTAGGACTCTGGAAAACAGGGTTTGAATCCATGAAAACTCATTTGGGGAGTGAAACTTGTAAAACCATTCCTTTTTTCACTTTCCTTGAAAGCCCTATTTGGGTTGCTATAAAATTGTTTCTGTCTTGACAGCACAGAACACACACAAGCAGCCTTAGATGCTATTGCTCTTGAAGCCTGTAGAAATACACTGAATCTTTTTTTACAGTTTCTACTGTCTTTTTTCTTCCTCCTCTTCCTCATAAATGATATAGAAATTAAAACTATCTCTCATCTGTGACCCTATCTGTCACGAGCCTGCAAAAAAGTGTCATAGCTTTCTGAAAGTCATTTACCCTTATCAAATGGAGATTTTTCTGGGAGGAAACAACATCTGAAGGCCAAGATCTGAAAAGCATTTTCCAGGCAGAGCATCCTATCTGACTGCATTTGCTTGAACAGCTGATGTTTCCCTCCTCGAGCTCACCTCTATATTTCAGTACATACTTTTGAAAGTCTTCTGTTTCAAAACCATTTTGTCTCAAAGTGCAATGGACTGCTACTTGAGAAATAGAAGTTCAGAACCCCTTTATTTTTGTTTGGGCCTTTATTTTTATTTTATTTTATTTTATTTTTATTTTTGGCTTTGGTTCTAATCCACTTCACCTCTTCATTCAGTAGCCCCATATCCTTGGCCAGTCACCTTGTCTAGTCTGGACAGTTCAAACTCTATATGAGGGGAGGATGGTCGAAAACAGCAACTTTAGGAGAGAACTCCCATGGTCTCCGTTCAGTACAGTTGTTGATGGAGATGGCGCTAGGGCTATATAAATATCTGGGATTAGATTGTACTTTTCTGTGGTGCCCCCTATTTATTTTCCATTCTGTTCTTGAAGGTGGACAATGCACAGGTGTTCCTCTGGTTGTCGCAACTTCGGCACAGGTGGGCAGATGAGGAGAAGCACTGTTATGCAAACATTTGTGATGCCCAGTTCATCTATTCCTATGAATACCTTGGGAACACACCACGCCTGGTCATCACTCCTCTGACAGACAGGTAAGAAGGCTTCACATGAGGAAAAAGTAGCATTCAGTAAGCCACATGGCCTAGCAGATGATGGGAGAATCTGCTTTTACTTTTTTGTCGTAATATGCTGTTTTTGGTACACAGTAGGTTTTCAGATGTAATCTATAGATAAAGCTTTCAATTCGAATCCAGTTACCTTTCCGTTCGAACACCTTTTCTGTTTAGAAAGGTTGGAAACTTTTTCTTGGATGCACAAGATGGTGAAGGAATTTAAGTGTGTCAGTGAAACTGAGGCTAGACTGGACTCCTTGCAGAGTCACCCAAGGCAAAATAGTCACACCTGAGACACCAGACTAAGATGCACCCACCCTCTTCAAGGCCACATCAGCAGAAGTGAGTGGATAGTTCCAGTGGTGATGGGGGCAGCTGCTACTGGGCAGAAGCAGTAACTGACACTGGCAGAGGAGGCAATGAAGGAGATGCTCAAACTAAAGTTTGTTTGTACTGTGCAGAAGGTGGTGGTGGAGAGTCATGTTGAACTTTCCTTATTGTGAAAACCCTATGAGGTTACAGTCCAAAATGAAACAAAAGATGGTGCTGGAAGAGGAAATTCCCAGATTGGAAAGCACTCTATCAGTTACTGGGGAAGATCATAGGACAAATACAGATAGTGCTGTCACTAGAGATGCAACTGGATTAAAGCTGAAAGGATGTCTAGTGGCTGACGTGCACAGAAGTGAAAGAAAAATTCGATAATAAATAAAACATACAAGTGGAAAATGGAACATGAAAAGTATGAATCAAGGTAAACTGGAAACCATAAAGCAAAATATAAAACATTCAAGCTCTCGATGTCAGTGAACTAAAGTGGATTGGAATGGGATATTTTCAGTTGGACAACTACAGAATGGTCTTCTCTGGAAATGACAAAAGAAGTGGAATAGCTCTAATACTGAGGCAAGATATAGTCCAGACAGTTGGGAGCAATAATGCAAAGTTTGACCAAATAATGTCATTCAGAAAAACCTATCAACATAACCATCATTCAAGTTTATGCTTCATCTACAGATGCTGCAGCAGATGAAACTGAAGGCCTTTATGGAAGCATCCAGGAGGAAATTTATCACACATCAAAACAATTGATGTTTAATCATAGGTGATTGGAATGCAAAAGCAGGGAATAAGCTGAATTAAAGTTTATAAAAATTGTTCCAGGGGTCAGACACAAAGCAGGAGAATGAGAGAAAGTTGTGAAGCCAACAGTCTGCTTATTGCAAATACATGCTTCAAACAATTAAAGAAGTAACTGTATATGTTAACATCACCAGATGGCCAATATAGAAATCAAATAGACTATGCAGTTGCAAGCAGGAGATGGAGACGCTGTGTTCTTTCAGCCAGAACAAGACCAGCCATAGATTATGATATTGATCATGAACAGTTAATATCCAACATTAGAATAAAGCTAAGAAAGAGCCACTAAAAGAATCCTAAAGTCAAAATATAATTTAAACAACACTCCTGATAAATTTATTGTGTACATGAAGAATAGATTTGCATTAGTACACTCAACTGATCATGGGACCAGAAATGTGCTTCTTTTTCCTGTAGTAAAAAGAAAAGGAAAACCTCTTTGGATGATGAAGGAAACACTTTAAATTGCAAAGGACAGATGAGAAGCAGAAAGTGGCAGAAAAAGGGTCAGAATCCTGTATGCAGCTTTTCAGTGTAAAGACAATGAGAATTACCCTATTACAATAATCAGTGCAAAGAAAAATAGAACAACAAAAAGGGAAAAATAAGAGTTCTTTTCCAGAAGAGCCAATAAATCAAAGGGAAATTTAAACCTAGATGAGAAATACTGAATGACCAACAGAGAAACACACTGTCTGACCAGGACAAAATAAAGAGAAGGTGGAAACGGTATATTGACAGCCTATAGAGAAGTGATAAAATGATGACAGAGCCTGAAAAACCCACAACAACCACGATGACAGATTGCTTTGAAGAGGAATCCTGTGGTAAAGAATATGCAGTTCTAGAAAATGAAGAGGAAGTCATTCTGAAATATATCACCAGGGGTAGATGGTATATCAATAGAACTGTTTCTGTCAAAACAGATCTGTCAAAATCTGAATAAGAATATGCCAGGAAATATGGAAAACAAAACAATGGCTCACAGTCTGGAAATGTGCAATATACATTCCAATCCCAAAAAAGGAGACGTCAAGGAGTGCAGTAATGATAGAACAATTGCTCTATTTTCCTGTGCAAGCAAAATGATGCCAAAGGTATTGTAACAAAGACTTTTACCTTACATGGAACAAGAAGTGCTCAAACTGGATTCCAAAAAAGGAGAGGCTTTAAAGATCCTATTGCAAATATCCGCTGACCACTGAAGTGCATCAAAGAATTTCAGGAGAAGATCAGTCTGTGCTTTATAGACTACAGTAAAGCCTTTGACTCTGTAGATCATGAGAAGCTAAGGATTTTTCTGAAAGACATGGGCGTACCTCAGCACTTGATTGTACTGATACATAACCTGTATTGTGGACAAGAAAATACTGTTAGGATTGAATACAGAGAGACAGAATGGTTTCCTATAGGTAAAGATTAGGGTGCATTTTATCCCCTTACCTTTTCCATTTGTATACAGAGTATGTCATACAGAAAGCAGGACTAAATTCAGATGAAGAAGGAGTGAAAATTGGTGGGGAGAACCATCAATAATTTAAGATATGGAGATGACACCATTGTACTGGCAGAAAGCAGCAATGATTTTATACTTTTAATGGAAATGAAAGAAGAAGGTGCCAAAGCAGGACTGCAGTTGAACATTAAGAAGACAAAAATAATGACTACCGAAAATCTACACAACTTTAATGTGGAGGATGAAAAAGTTGAAATAGAGATTTTATATACCTTGGTTCAAACATCAATCCAAATGGAAATTGCAGGCAAGAAATCAGAAGACAGACTAGGAAGGGCAACAATGAAGGAAGCAGAGAAGATAATCAAGTGTAAGGATGTATCATTGGAGACCAAGACAAAGATCATCCACACTATTGTATTCTTGACCACTATGTATGGCTGTGAAAGCTGGACAGTGAAGAGAGTTGACAGGAAAAAAAATCATTTGTGATATGGTACTGGAGGATAGCTTTGTGGGTACCCCGGACTACCAGAAAGACAAACAAGTGAGTCCTAGATAAAATCAAGCCTGAACTGTCTCTGGAGGAAAAAACTGATGAATATAAGGCTGTCCTACTCTGGGCATATGAGAAGGCAAGATTACTGTATCTGGAAAAGGCAATAATACTGAGAAAAGTTGAAGGCAGCAGGAAAACAGAAAGACTGAATGAGAGCTTCCATGCTATGATACCTGATGGTGGTATTTGTAGATACTAAAAAGCCAATCTGTTCAAAGAGGTCACTCCTAGAGATGCCTATATTGTAAAAAAAATGTTTCAGAATCTCCAAAATCTACCTATATTACTAGAGAGAGAGGGGGGGAGGGAGAGAGAGAGAACGGCACTCTGCACTTGGTTCTGAGTGGCTATATGTGATGCAGGATCTTGTATCCAACACATTCTCTCTTAGTCTTACTCCCAGCCTCCTGTGTTTAGCATGAAATCTGAATTATCCCAATATAAAGATATGTAGGAGGACAAAGATGGGTTCTCAGAAAATTTCTTATTATTTGCTTACTTATTGTTTTTAGGACAAACTATGCATACCATCAGTTTTGCTTGTTTCTGCTTTCTTTCCTCTTTGAACATGAAAGATGCTATATCACTCTCACTCAATCCTTGCACCTAACTATGAGTGGAGCTCCTGCAGGTCCAGCGGGTACGGGGAAGACGGAGACCACGAAGGACCTGGGACGAGCTCTCGGGATCATGGTGTACGTTTTCAACTGTTCAGAACAAATGGACTACAAGGTACGGTATTGGTTCAGAAACCGTTTAAGAACCGTGGGAGACATGCCAGGATGAATCTAATGGGAGAGAAAGTGCAGTAGGTTATCTAGAAGTCAGTCTGAATGTGGCATGTCCCTTGGACTGTTTCTACATAGACAAATATATTTATATACCTACTGTTTTTAGCTTTTAAATGCAGTAGTCTTTTTAACAATGTGAGGTACGTTGAGTTCTTTTTAAGGAGAGAGGCGGGCTAATTTTATTTAGACACACAGGGAAAATGTAACAATTTCTCTGCAAAAGTACTAATCTGATATGGGTAGATAGAGTATGTGAAATTACAAAAATATGAATAAATATAATTATAGCTATTTTTTATGGGGGAGGGAGGAACTGTGTATATGAGGTAAGATTTGACAATTTGCCTACGGGTCCTTTGTATTTTTTCTCTTTCATCCAATAATCCCATTGGGAATTTCTTCTGCACAACATGCCATGAAATGAATGGGAGCTGCAGAAAAATATAATAGTGCTCTGTTGCTGTTTCTGATAAAATTCACTTACACTCTTCAGCTCTCTCTGGCAGATTTATTCTCCATGCTCCCTTTTGTTCTCTCTCCCAAATGCTAACTTACTTTCCATCTTGGAAGCAAGTTTAACTGTGAGTCCTCTTTTTTTTTTAAAAGAAGTGGTTCAGAAACTACCCAGTAAAGCATTTTCAGGATCCATTAGTGGAAGTGTGATATAGAGAAGTTGTTTTAGAGATTGGCCTGGAAATTAAACTTCCTCTGACCTGCTTTTGCTACTTTGCTGCCAAGACACAGTGCCAGCAACTCAAGAGACATATATCAGGGAGGAAAAGACTTCAGACTTAAGGGCCCTGCTTTAGTATTTAAGTAGAACTCTGGGATTCACTAACAGGTTATGTTACATCATGTGCCACCAAGTTGCTTCTGATTTATGGTGACCCTCATAGGGTTTTTAAGTCATATGAGATGTTCAAGGAGTGGTTTGCCATTGCCACTCCCAGTTAGTTTCTGCGGCTGGGTAGGAGTTTAAACAAGATCTCCTGGGTCCTAGTTTGATACTCAATCTACTTTACCACATAGGTTCTGCCAGCCACTAGAGCCAGGTTCAAAGGTTTGGCCATGGAATTAAGGAATGCTTACTTAAGAAGTGTTACAATTTGGAGTCAGAATACCTTGCCCATCCACTGCATGTTACCAAGAGACCCATAAGGTGTGCCACTTTGCGAGGTCTGACCTACATTCAGTGCATCTCAGTTTTACCGGTGGTCCCGTCTTATTCTCTGGAAACATTGTTTGAACAAGCACTTTATTGAATTGCCTAGGTGAATCTTCATTCTTCCTCATTTGGGTTCAGGAGAACAGCCCTAGATTTCTTCCTTTATATATTTTGGCTCAGAATTACCCTAGGAAACTAGATTGCAATGGACAAGCACCAATAATCTTCAAATAGAAGTATAGCACATGTGTAATAAAAATCTAAAACTGAGAAACTCATTCAGATTCATCACTACTGTCATTTGTTTCTGTTTTCAGATCTACTGCTCTTTAATAAATGCCCACAAAACTTTCTAAGTTACTTATGAGGTTGAAAGTAGGTTATACATGTTTCACTAAAACAAATTCTATGGGTAATTTCACTGTTTTTTTTTTTCTCTCTCTCTCTCTGTTGCAGTCTTGTGGTAACATTTACAAAGGCCTTTCCCAGACTGGTGCATGGGGCTGTTTTGATGAGTTTAACAGAATCTCTGTAGAGGTGCTGTCTGTGGTGGCTGTACAGGTAAGTAAAAAGTGCCTCATACCTTTAATAAGAAAAAGTTAGATGGAGGAAATATGGATCAGGAACATGATTTTACCACATACCTTGGGAAACATAAATGTACAATGTGTTTATTTCACTTTACTGCTTATCAGTTTCCAAAATAGCCAAAATTGTTTAAATCTAAACTGAAATAGCCACAAAACATTAACATAATCCATTTTAATTATAGGAACAATAAAACAAGCAACCAAATTCTGGACAGAATAACATATAATCTTAAATTGGCCCCTAAAAGGCAAAAGTTGGTGCCAAATAAGTATCTCTGGAATGGATTTTCCATAAATGGAAATTTGTGGAAATTTCATTCTAGAGATACTTATTTGACACCATCACTTGACATACCTTTCTCTTGGTTGCCAGTTACCTAACCTTTGAAAGAAGAGACAAATAGACTCAACAAACAGAAAATGCTTTGGATCACTGGTTTTGTTGCTGTTCTAATAAATTATGGCTATATAGTTCAGAAGTGTATTTCAATCCCATTATGAGTGTGTTTACTCTTTTAATTCCTTTGCGATCCAGTGCTTGATAGCTTTGTTAAGATTCCATCCATCCATCCATCCATCCATCCATCCATCCATCCATCCATCCATCCATCCATCCAGTTGTCTCAGTTCATTTATATCCAGTCTGCCAGTTCAGGGACTCAAGGTAGCTTTAAAAAAGGCAAACCCTGGATCAAATAATATGAATAGCTTATTTTTAGTCCCACCCCCAATTTTTTATAACCAAACAATGTGCTGAGATACAGTGCCCCCAAACAGGGAGGCTCCATTTAGAAATTTAGGCCAGAATGGTAAGAGTGGTGACAATTGAACAGACCAAAAGTCCATCTAGTTTTGTCCAGTACCCCATTTCCCACACGAGCTGCCCACGTGTGACTAGCCCCCCCCTTGAGCTGTGAAGCTCATTGGATAACCTTGGCTCAGTCATTCTCTCTCAGCTGTTATGACTTACCTCTTAGGAGCTCATGTCATCAGTATGGTGTTAAGTAATCTAACACCACACTGAACACATCTTATTCCATCTGATTTTGGGACAGAGTTCAGCCTCATTAGTACCAGGGAATAAGAGGGATTAATTATGGATGGGAAAGAATTCTACATAGTCCATGAAGAAACTTATGTCTGGGAGGATTATGGGTCTCCCCCTCCAAACGAGCAGCTGTAAGTCTATTTTTGTCCAGCATCCTATTTCTCACACTAGACGCCTACATGTGGCTGCTACCCCTTGAGCCATGAAATCCACTGGATGACCTTGGCTTAGTCATTCTCACTCAGCTTGATCTACCTTATAGGGTTGATGTGAAGAGAAAATAGATGGGAAACACTAATGCATGTCGTTTTGATCTCACTGGGGGAAGAGTGGGAGATACATGTAAATTGCAGACCATGTGCTGTGGAACTTGACTTCCCAGATAATTGTCATTAGGCAAGTGTCTACATTTAAAAGCACACAGACATCAGTCCCATAGAATTTGGATAAGCTGGGTCAAAGGGCTTGTGTGATGTAGTGGATGGATTGTTGGGACAGGACCCAGGGGACCTCAGTTCAGATTCCTGCCTTGTGGAAACTGGATGGCAAAGGCAAACCCACTTACTGAACCTCTCAGGTCCTTCAGTAAACCTAGTATGAGAAGCAGTGTGGTGTAGAAAAGTGCTGGACTGGGGCTCAGGAGAGTAGGGTTCAAATCCCTGCTTGCTTGGCTGTGGATGCCAACACATGGAAGCATGATCTCAGGTCTAATAGGTACCATAATTCCTGTTTAAAAACAAAACAACAACAACAACTGGCAGACTTGAGTTGGTTTCTGGGCTCTGTGTAGGGAGGAGTTCTTATGAGCATTTCTGTTTTCTCTCACTTTTAGGTGAAGAGCATTCAGGATGCTATCAGAGACAAAAAGGAAAGTTTTAATTTCCTTGGGGAAGACATTAAATTGGTTCCTTCTGTTGGTATTTTCATTACCATGAATCCTGGATACGCTGGTCGTACAGAGCTGCCTGAGAATTTGAAAGCTCTTTTCAGGTATAACATAGATTTTATTTCTTCTAAAGTTTAGGAAATCTCTGACTGCAGCTGATTTTGGAGTTTGCTTCATTCTTCCTTGTAATTGTCATATTTAGTTAGTTACTGTTACGAGGGGGTGCTGATAAGTATTGAACCTTTCCCAGAAAAAAATGAGCTAGGAAGCTGTAACTGCCACACTATTCTACATATTCCCCCAGGAAGTTAATGCACTTGCGACATCTGTCCTGCAGCTTCTTTAAGTCCCTGCAAATAAAATTCTTCCGACTGCTGCTGTAACCACTCATTTGCAGCATTAGTTGCCTCCAGAGCACTCCCAAATCGTTGTCCCTTTAGGTGTTTTTTTTTTTAGTTTGGGGAACAGATAATAGTCAGAACGAGTCAATTCGGGAGAATAGGGTGGATGGGGCATCACTTGAAAGCCTAAGGACATCAGTTTTGCCATTGTTTCACCTGCAGTGTGTGATGAGGCATTGTCATGCAACAGGATGACACCTTTGGAGAGCTTTCCTCAATGTTTTTCCTTGATGTTTTGCCTCAACTTCCTCAATAAAGCACAGTAATATTTTGCATTAGAACCCTGTTGGAGGTAGTCTACCAGCAGAACTCCCTTCTTATCTCAAAAAACTGTTGCCATTTGCTTCTGCACTGATCTTTGCACTCGGAACTTCTTTGGCCTGGGGGAACCACTGTGCCTCCATTCCTCAGACTGTTCCTTTGTCTCAAGATCATAATAGTAGATCCATGTCTCATAATCAGTTACCAGTTTGCCCAGGAAATCTGACTCATTTCTTGCAAAATGTTCCAAAACAGCCACCGATGATTCCACATGTTTCCTCTTTTGTTCAGTTGTCAAAAGTTTGGGGATCCACTTTGCTGCCAGCTTTCTCATTTCCAAGTCATTGTGGATAATGGCAACTCTCTCACATTTCCATGTCATTGTGGATAATGGCAACTCTCTCACATGATATTCTCAGATATATAGCAATAACTTTGGCTAATATTCAGCAGTCCTCTATGATCACGTCATGGGTGGCTTTCACATTTGCAGGCACAGAGACAGAAACAGGCCTTCACTGGGTTTCTCATTTTCAACCCTGAAATGGCCAGTTTTAAAATTGACAACTCAATGTTTAACTGTTGCATATGAAGGGCTACTGTCACCCATAGTTTGTGACATTTCATTATGGATCTGCTTTGGATCTTTCCCTTGGAGAAACAGGAACTTGTTTATGGTCCTATGCTCTTCCACATTAAATTTTTCTGGAGGTGCCACCATGTTCAATTTGGAACAAAACATGAAAGTTAAGTTAAAATCATAGGTAGTTGATTTTAGCACTGTTGAATATAGACAAATTGGCCAATACACCCTGCAATTCATAGCTTCCTAGTTCATTTTTTTTCTGGGTAAGGCTCAATACTCATCAGCACCCCCTCGTACATTTTACAGATGGGGAATTGAGGCTGAGTATTCATCTGTGCATGTGTCATTTGATAAGTCCATAGTTGCACTGGAGAATAGATATGATTTTCTGAGTTCCATATCTGTTACAGCCAGCCACAAGATAGATCCCTCCGTTTGCATGTCCTAACTGTCTTTCTTTGACCTTGGCAAGAGCAAGACAAACAGGCAAAATATCATTTCCTCCAAATTTTACCCAGAGCTTAGTTTGGATGTATGAAAGAATGTGTCTGATTCTGAATTTGTCTAGAGTCAACAGTTGAGATAAAGTGCATCGGTTTGTGCAGGTGGTGTATTTCCTTCAGTTCCTCACCATGCAAGGGTGCAGGGTTGTTGCTTTTGTGTGGACATTCCAAGGAAGACTTTGTGTGAATATTATGACATTCCTAAAGTCAGGAAAAATAACAACTTCAAGAGAAGTAAAAATTAGGAGAGGGAATGTGATTGGTAAAGGTGTCACACTTTTCTTTGGCTACATGATTACTGTGACACTGCAGAACAGTTGTAAGAGATTACTTAACTAGATAGTGGATTTCTTGTTCCTGAATCCAGAATATGATGCTCCTTGTGTGTTGAATACTTTGGGATTAGTGCATTGAAATGTAAGGGAGAGGAGTAGAAGTTTTTCCCTGCTCCTCATGAAAGGATGGAGGGTGCCACTTGTTCACCCTGAAAGCTGACAGCACTTCCCTAAAGGAACCGCTTTACACTCAGTAATAGGGAATACCTTAATTTGAGGGTGTCTGTTTTCTTACCTGTAACTGAGAGACTCTATAAACAAACAAACAAACAAAAAAAAAACAAATGTTGAAGACTTCTTCCAACTTTCTTAACTGGAGAATCTGGTTTACATACAGAGCAGTTAAAATCACTGGAATGGGTATAAGGAGTTGTGGCAACCCCAGACCTACTGGAGTATCCCACCCTGTAATTATGCTGTAAAGATGTCACACTTTTCTCTGGCTACATGATTACTGTGACACTGCAGAACAGTTGTAAGAGATTACTTAACTGGATAGTGGGTTTCTTGTTCCTGAATCCAGAATATGATGCTCCTTGTGTGTTGAATACTTTGGGATTAGTGCATTGAAATGTAAGGGAGAGGAGTAGAAGTTTTTCCCTGCTCCTCATGAGAGGATGGAGGGTGCCACTTGTTCACCCTGAAAGCTGACAGCACTTTCCTAAAGGAACCGCTTTACACTCAGTAATAGGGAATACCTTAATTTGGGGGTGTCTGTTTTCTTACTTGTAACTGAGAGACTCTATAAACAAAAATGTTGAGGACTTCTTCCAACTTTCTTAACTGGAGCCATAGGATGGAACTTTCCCTCCAAACCCATGACAGACAGGTACCATCAGTGCTGTATGTGACAGGAGTTAAGCTTCATAATATAAAAATATATAAAATATAATGCAACATACTATAAAAAGATCCTATTGAGGCAGAATACTAACACAGGGCTTCTTCCTGAGGCATGGCTTAAAGAGGAAAACATATGTAAACATCTCAGTACCCAGCACAATAATAGAAAACAAACAAACAAAAACCTGTCATTCAACTATTTTCCTCAGTAACTCACACCCATGAGGCTGCTTCTGGTTATTTGTGCTCTCTTGCCATAGCTCCCCCTCGGACCTGTTTGTCCACTGTCCCAGTTACTCCACAGCCAAAGTAAAGAACAAAAATAAAATAAAATAAACAGAGCAAAACACCTTTGTCCAGGTTGCTAGTTTAAGGATCTCTGATTAGTTAAATAGCTGTAAGTCATCGTCATTGCCATCATAGACACCACAAATTATCTATCTCATGGTATTAACCTATTCTCAGTTCTGTGATGCTCTATCACATGAAGGCCAAGCAGTGTGTATTTTGTGTTGCTGATCTGGCTGGATCCACTGGTCTGTGATTATGACAGGGGCATAATTCAATAGGTCAATATGTGCCCTGTGCAGAGCAGATCCCTGCCCAGTGTGCAATCCCGGTCAACTAAAGGTCTTTTAATTAAAAAGTTCAGGTATGAGCTGATGTGAAAGAGACCTTGGTGACCATCAGTCAGAGAAGGCACTCCTGGACTAGATGGAGCAAAAAAGTTCAGGTATGAGCTGATGTGAAAGATGCATGTTTGAGACCCTGGTGACCATCAGTCAGAGAAGGCAGTCCTGGACTAGATGGAGCAGTAGTTTAAAGTTGTATAAGACAGGTTTCCTTATGTAGTTACTTGGCTTACAGATACTGATTTTTTTCTTTTAGACCATGTGCAATGGTTGTACCAGACTTTGAACTGATCTGTGAAATCATGCTGGTGGCGGAAGGATTCATAGACGCTCGGCTGCTGGCAAGGAAGTTCATCACCCTTTATCAGTTGTGCAAAGAACTGTTGTCCAAGCAGGTAAGTAGATGTAATAGTGGATTAGAGCGCCTGGCTATCGAGATAGGAGCTTGGTGCTTGAATCTCCATTGTGTCTCCTAGGAGACAGGCCTGCCAAGACAGCCAGAGTGTGTGTGGCTGGTGGTATTATGCGCCCTGTTACTTGTATGGCCCTGGGCAAGCTGCATAGTTGCACAAGTGGAAAGGTTGGCATGCCACTTCCGAGTGCTTTCTCTACATAAAACCCTGGGAGGATTGCTATGAGCCAGAATTGATTAGACACCACCAGCATTATTGTTAGTATTATTATTTTAGATGTCAGCTACCCATAACTGATAAATTTCTGTTATATTCACAACTCAAACAGTCTTGCTGATGAGAGCCATGTAAGTCTGTTGCAATAAAGACCACAAAGGATCTTGTGGCACCATACATATGAATAAATTGGCTGGAGTCCACAAATGTTTACAACTTTTGTTGGTCCTCAAGGTAGCACAAGATTCTCGGGAAGAAACCTATTGAGAGAATGGAAAACATAACTCCCTGTGCATGTAGTACTCTGTGGGATCTCCAGCTCATAAATGCAAGAATCACAGATTGCCCTTTTGAAAACAGTGTGGCCCCTGCAGACAAGGGGATAGTGAATACGCTCTTGGGCAAATACTGGGGAAAAAAGTGAATATGTATGTAATGGATGAGATATTTTTTAAAAAGGGTTTTGCCCTTTGTTGTTGAGTTTCTCAAAGTATCCTGTACATATATTCGCGAAGGCTTTCATGGCCGGGATCTAATGGTTGTTCTGGGTTTTTCGGGCTCTTTGGCCGTGTTCTGAAGGTTGTTCTTCCTGACGTTTCGCCAGTCTCTCTGGCTGGCATCTTCAGAGGACAGCAACCTCTGAAGATGCTGGCCACAGAGACTGGCGAAACGTCAGGAAGAATATCTTTCAGAAAACGGCCAAAGAGCCCGAAAAACCCAGAACAACAATTCTGCACATGTTCATATCTTTCCTCTCAAAATATTTGGGACAGTGAAATGGGAGCAATTTTACTCTTCGATGTTCCTGCCCCTGCCTGGATTACTTTCCTCAGTAAGCCATAGGGCAAGGAGATATGGTCCTCTCTGCATCCTGATGTTCTAGAACTTGGCATGTTCCAAGTATTATATTTTGGGTTGGATTTGTTAAACTATATCGCCACACTTGCTTTATTTTCTTGATTCTGTATTGGCTGCCTGCTTGCTGGGGAGGTTTGGCTTTTGGATCCTGCCATCAGAAAATTGAGAATCAGAGTACAAAGAAGATGGAGGTTAGCTTCCTTTCCTTTTGTAGCATGCTGAGATGCACAGATACCAGGTTAAACTAGACACTGTTTTAAATGCATGTCATGCAGCCGAGCCCTAGTTTCTTCTTCTCCATTTCAAATTCCTGGTTTAGATTGGGACCACCACTCATCGGTAGGAAAGGTGTTAACTTTCTGTTTTTAATTCCTAAACAGAAGACAAACGGTGGCATTTAAAAGTTTTTTTCATAGTCAAGTCCCCACATGGGGTAGAAGCCATATATACTGGACCCTGTACACTTACTTGAAATAAAGTGAGGCTCAGTTGAATGCTGCCTGCTTCACATAGTATGCAGTTGAGTACATTCTTACAGGGTTTGATGTGTTGGCCAAGTATGAGATAATTATCTTGGTTTCCCTCCCTCTCCAATTAGGATCATTATGACTGGGGATTACGTGCAATTAAGTCAGTCCTTGTTGTTGCTGGATCCCTCAAGAGAGGAGACCCAGATCGCCCTGAAGACCAGGTGCTGATGCGTTCTCTGAGGGATTTCAATGTTCCAAAGATTGTAACTGATGACATGCCAGTGTTCATGGGTCTGATTGGAGACCTGTTTCCTGCCTTGGATGTCCCAAGAAAGCGAGATCTTAATTTTGAATCTTTTGTGAAACAAGCTGTTTTGGAACTTAAGTTGCAAGCAGAAGACAACTTCGTGCTCAAAGTAAGAATGAGATCTTACCTTGTCCAACTTCTGTACTGATTTTGAGCTTTGGTATCTTATTGTCATGAAACAAAACTTTTCTGTCATAAAAAGGAATTTGTACAAAGCTATTCCACATTTGTGCATCCCCAGGTCTCATTTGGGGCAGGTGGATGGGTTATTGTTGTTATTCTTTTAGATTTTTTACTGGTTGTCCTGTCTCTGAATCATTTCTTGTGGGATTCCTACTTGACTGTGATCTGTGCAGACCTGATGATGATGATGATGATGATGATGATGATGATGATGATGATGATCATCATCATCATCATCATCATCATCATCATCATCATCATCATTATCACCAACACCAACACCAACAATAATAATAAAAATCATCCAATATGATATGTGACCATTAAAATTTCATATTTTGAGGGAAGTCATTTCATTCTGTCATTGTTAACAATAGGAACCTGTTCAAGTTTAGGCTTACCAATGAAATATGTATAGCGTTTTGGAATGAATGTACATTATGAGACCAGCTGTGCATCGTTAGTTAAATGGGACATTGTGTGGCTGATCTTATTCATAGTGCTGTGGTGTTTTCTCCTTGGTGTTTTGTGAAGGTGGTCCAGCTGGAAGAGCTCTTAGCAGTTCGGCACTCGGTCTTTGTGGTGGGCAATGCAGGTACAGGCAAGTCCCAGGTGCTGAAATCTCTGAACAAGACCTACCACATCATGAAACGGCGGCCTGTTTGGACAGATCTCAATCCAAAAGCAGTTACAAATGATGAACTGTTTGGCATTATTAATCCAGCTACAAGAGAATGGAAAGACGGTAAGATTATTATCACATCTTAAAAACCAATAAAAGAAGTGTTTTAACCTACATCAACCAGAATTGAAACAAGAAGTAAAAGCACTCCCCTCTGCCCACCTAAATGTGTATAGACAGACTTTTGGAGCATTATCTGAATGCATGAGAATCCTAATCTTGGGGGTTCTGACTGCAATTGTCAGTAGGGCTAGGGCTTGGGTTTCAACTAGATTTCTTTCAACCCACAGAGAATTTCAGAGTCCCTCTCTGTCATTCTCTTGAATAGGGTCAACATAACGACTACTGGAATTTGTAGCTTCTATTTATTGGTATCATGGTTTGCAAAAACACAGTAATATTTATGTACCAAATGCAGTAATGATTGGGAATCCCCTCCCCCCAAAAAATGGTGATTCAGTTTGATTCATGATTTTTCAAGGGCAACAAATCATGAATTATAAATTTATCATTTTTTTCCTGTCATGGTGAAGATTGGGTTTCGGATGTATGAGTTATATGCCCACAAAGAGCCTCACCCCAGAATCCCCTCCCCCCGCAAAGGCACCTAGAGATTGGATTTCAGACAACCAGGTTATACACCCAAAAGGTAGGTCTCTCCCACGAAAATGTCCTTTAGCAGCTGGCTTTGGCAAACCCAATCTTCCCCAAACTTGGAGGGATTGCAGAGGAGAGTCAGTAGAAATGTCTTTGTGATTTTCGTGTCTCTAGGCGCCTGAGGAGAACTTTCTGGGATGAGGCTCTGTGGGCATATAACTCAGACATCTGAAACCCAGCCTTCACCAATCCTAGAGAGATTGTAGAGGGGAGTCAGAGGAAGCTTCCCTGCAATTTCAGTGTCTCTAGGTTCCTTGGGGACTGTTCTATAGCCAAACAAACCAATGAATTAAAAATGCTAAGAATTCATTGATTCATATTCATCAAGGGCATCATTTCAGACGCATACAAATTGATAAATTAGTGATTTTTGAATGAATTTGGTGATTCAGTTTTTAATTTGTGCTCATCTCTATTTGGGACAAAAGATTACAGCAAGGGCAAAATGTGGTATGTCTCCTAGGACATTTTTTTTTGTTTAAATTGGGTTTTTTTGTCATTTAAAAAGCAAGAACACTGTACGTGTCCAGTGGCTGAAACTTAGGAACACTGGTTACAATTCCAAAGGTGACAATTTTGTACTACATTGTCACTGTAGTCTCTGTGAATTTAGAAACAAAACAATTCAGGGAGATTAGAATGCCCCATCCTAGTTCATGAGAGTTAATTTCAGTTGCACCCCCCCCATGTCTGTTAATGTCTCAATTCTGCCATCCTGAGAGGCTTGGACTCCCTATGTGACCTCTTTGGGGTGGCAGCACCAGCTGTATCCTTGGCTAGTGCCCTCTCTCCCTTCAATTTGCTTAATTTATGGTGCCATAATCTGGCCAATCATCATCCTCTGAGGAGGAGATTACCAGGGGTGATCTAGGTAGAGCTTTACACTTGGCAGGTTGCTTGCTGTAACGTGGCGGCCACTCTTTTGTCTGTGCCCACTCAGGCTTCTCAGAATGCCCACCACGCCACTACACACTCTTGCTGCCACCAACCTTTCCTTTAAATAAAAAGGACAAGGGTTTCTTTTAGAAACAAAACAATTCAAGGAGATTAGAATGCCCCATCCTAGTTCATGAGAGTTAGTTTCAGTTGCACCCCCCCCATGTCTGTTAATGTCTCAATTCTGCCATCCTGAGAGGCTTGGACTCCCTATGTGACCTCTTTGGGGTGGCAGCACCAGCTGTATCCTTGGCTAGTGCCCTCTCTCCCTTCAATTTGCTTAATTTATGGTGCCATAATCTGGCCAATCATCATCCTCTGAGGAGGAGATTACCAGGGGTGATCTAGGTAGAGCTTTACACTTGGCAGGTTGCTTGCCTTTCTTGCTACCTTGTCCTTTCTTAGCCCCCATTTTCCACTAACGATAGTCAAAATTATTCCCCTGGCCTCTCCTATCCCAGTCCTACCAGGCCCCCACTGTTGTGATTGTGTCCTTGTTTGCTTCCCCTTTTTAAAAACCTCAATTTAGTGCTAATTGTTTTTATTTTATAGGTAAAGGTAAAGGTTCCCCTTGACATTTAGTCCAGTCGTGTCCGACTCTAGGGCGCAATGCTCATCCCCGTTTCCAAGCCGTAGAGCCAGCGTTTGTCTGTAGATAGTTTCTATGGTCACGTGGCCAGTGTGACTTAGACACGGAACGCTGTGATCTTCCCATCATGGTGGTACCTATTTATCTACTTGCATTTGCATGCTTTCGAACTGCTAGGTTGGCAAGAGCTGGGCCAAGAGACGGGAGCTCACTCTGTTGCATGGATTCAATCTTACGACTGCTGGTCTTCTGACCCTGCAGCACAGAGGCTTCTGTGGTTTAACTCGCAGTGCTGCCACATCCCTTTTTTATTTTATAGTCACTTGTAAAAAAATAAATCACGCTCTTGTGGGAGTGAGATTAAGAGAGGTGGATGGGCGGTTGGGTAGGTGGGTGTCTGACTGGTAGGCATTGGGCCCACAGGGGTGCTTCCCCTCCACTCAGTTCTCTCTCTTTCTCCTACCCTCTTTTCTCTCCTTTAAAAAAAAATTAATTAATTAATTAATTAATTCAGTCTCCCTCTCTCCCTCCCTCTCTTTAATCTTTTAATTTTAGTTTTTATTTAATTAATTAACCTTCTAAAGGGCACCATAGCCAACTGCCTTCCCCCCAGGACCCCCCCACAAATTCCTCAAATCAGGGGTTGCGCTGTTGCACAACCCAAATTCCAGGCTGCTCAGTTGCACCACGTGGCACAAAGCAAAATCGCATGCTCAGTTTCTCATAGCTTCCCCTTGCTCGACCAATTGAAAAGAGAGTTGCTTGCCTTTCTTGCTACCTTGTCCTTTCTTAGCCCCCATTTTCCACTAACGATAGTCAAAATTATTCCCCTGGCCTCTCCTATCCCAGTCCTACCAGGCCCCCACTGTTGTGATTGTGTCCTTGTTTGCTTCCCCTTTTTAAAAACCTCAATTTAGTGCTAATTGTTTTTATTTTATAGGTAAAGGTAAAGGTTCCCCTTGACATTTAGTCCAGTCGTGTCCGACTCTAGGGCGCAATGCTCATCCCCGTTTCCAAGCCGTAGAGCCAGCGTTTGTCTGTAGATAGTTTCTATGGTCACGTGGCCAGTGTGACTTAGACACGGAACGCTGTGATCTTCCCATCATGGTGGTACCTATTTATCTACTTGCATTTGCATGCTTTCGAACTGCTAGGTTGGCAAGAGCTGGGCCAAGAGACGGGAGCTCACTCTGTTGCATGGATTCAATCTTACGACTGCTGGTCTTCTGACCCTGCAGCACAGAGGCTTCTGTGGTTTAACTCGCAGTGCTGCCACATCCCTTTTTTATTTTATAGTCACTTGTAAAAAAATAAATCACGCTCTTGTGGGAGTGAGATTAAGAGAGGTGGATGGGCGGTTGGGTAGGTGGGTGTCTGACTGGTAGGCATTGGCCCCACAGGGGTGCTTCCCCCCCACTCAGTTCTCTCTCTTTCTCCT